GTGACCGGCAGTGGAGGCCAGATTTCAAAGCGATTCTAAGACTAAATATTTGAAGAGAGCCCCGAAGGTCAAGGGGCAGGGGCCTGAGCTGCTGGTTGGCGCTTCTGAGGTTGCTCTCAGAAGCAGAATTGGCCACGTCGGGTGAATGTCACTCACGCTGGGCCTTGTCTGGGAGTCTTACTTGCTGCCATCTGCTGGCTTAGGCACAAGCGTTGCAACCTAGTCCGGTCCGTGCCAGGGAGGCTCCCTCTGCCTTCTCTGCTCTTAGCTGCTTTGTCCTGCCCTTGCCTCCCGGCCACGAGGATTCCCTGATGAAGACCTGGAACCCTCTCCTTCTCTCTATGCCTCTCCCCCTTCCTCGCCTCTCCTGCGAGATCTGGCCTGAAACCAAAGCGTTGGTTCCGAGGCCCCTAGCAGGCCCGCCATTCCACTCCCAGCTCCTCTGTCTCTGCACACCCTCCCCCTGCAAATCTTACAAGTCATGTCTTACTACAACTCTCCAGGCCCCTGCGGCGGCCTCCCACTGCCTTTCAAATTAACTCCAGGCCTCTGAACCCAGAGCCAGGGCCCGGGAGGTGGCTTCCGGCCAGCACGTCTGCCTTCTCCCGTCTGATGCCTCTCCTAGCTTTCCAGGCCCAGACTGCTCCCTCCATATTCCCTGCCTGAGCCCTCTCCTCCTTCAGTCCAATTCTGGCCCTCACAGAAGGCCGTGCTCAGACCCGACAACCTCGGGGAAGCCTTTCCTACCGGAGCAGGGAGCCGTGGTCCTGGGCCTCCAGATGCCTCCTTTGTCATTCACACCCAGTTTGCTTTCTCCTCTGTTCTCACCCTACCCTGAAGGGGCGAACACCTGGTCTCCTGATTAAGGCAGGAAAGCCTACGGAGCAGGGGTTCCACCTGGCTACCCATCAAGGTGGAGCACATAACATTTCCGAAGCCTAATTGCTTGAGAGTTGAAGGCCGGATTTGAAATCCAGAGGGGTGGTTGAGATCTCACTGTGTCCAGCTTCTCAGTAATTAGACTCTTGTCCTCCACAGGCCACCATTAAATGCAACCCTGGTGATCACTTTTGAAATCACATTTCGTTCCAAAAATATTACTATCCTTGAGCTCCCCGAAGAAGTAAGTAACCAATCGTAACGGATGGGTAGGGAAATGCTAGGTAACAGAACACATTTGAATTAAGAACTGGTGGAACTAGGTCTCCTAGGCGGCCCCTGTTCCATCAACCTAGAAATCTGTGATTATGGCTTTGTTGGTCTCTTTGGGGATGAGTATCATATGCCATTAGATGGAATTAAGAAGATGATAGTAAGGAACCTGAGGCAAAAATCGTTCTGGGAATGTAAAAGTTCTTAGGATTTTCAGCTGGGAGTGGTGACTCACGCCTGTAATCCCAGCACTTTAGGAGGCCAAGGTGGGCGGATTACATGAGGTAGGAAGTTCGAGACCAGCCTGGTCAACATGGTGAAACCCCATCTCTACTAAAGTAAACATAAAAATTAGCCAGGCGTGGTGGTACGCGCCTGTAATCCAAGCCACTCAGGAGGCTGAGGCAGGAGGATCACTTGAACCCAGGAGGCGGAGGTTGGAGTGAGCCGAGATGACCCCACTGCACTCCAGTCTGGGCGACAGAGCGAGACTCCGTCTCAAAAAAAAAGTTCTTACAATTTTCTAAGGCCTGGCTACTCAAAGGGCATTCCGGGACCTGCAGAACTGGGCTTCCTTAGGAACACAGCATCTCAGGCCCCACCCCAAACCTACTGATTGAAAGTCAGCACACTAGCAAGATCCCAGATGGTGTGAGTCCACATTAAGGTTTGTGAAGCCTCATTCTGAGACACCATTGGTT